CTGCCCCCCCTTCCTTCCCCTCTTTTTTTTTTTTTTTTTTTTTTTTCTTCCCCCCCCCCTAATATAATTGGGGGGAACTAGTAATTTGTTTGTGTGGAGCGTACAGGTAGGTTACTGGCACAATCTGAGGGGAGAGTGTGGAGTGGACTGTTAGACCTCATAAGTCCCCCTCAACCCATCTTCTGATTTCCTTAAAATAAACCAAGGTTGTTATTTAAAAAAAAAAAAAAAAAAAATTACTGGTTTGGCAAAGAAATTTGGCGCTTGTCTTAAAATGAAGGCCAGAAAGGAATTCTTCATTGTTCAAGCACTGACTGGTCTGTCTTTTGCCTCCCCCACAAGCAAGTGTGGAGCTATTTTTTCATTTGTGAGTTAGATGCAGAAATGTATCTATGGGCATGGAGGGACTTGGGGATGGGATGTACTGCTCACCTGGCTTTAAAAGGCTCTCTGGACTGCCAGGACTGCCTTGTGGTCTGCTATAGCTTTCACTTCCTTCAGGGACTTGCGCAGGTGTAAAACAATTATGCTAAGTCTTGCAGTGTTTTAACGTAACTTGAGGTCAGCTGCAGTCCAGAGTCTCATGGCCAACCTTGAGTGCTAACCTGATTGTTTTATACACAGTGGCATGTGCTGCTGCCCCCTGTCCCACCTGGTGCTTATTGCTCTGTTCCATGTACCAGCTAAAGAGCCCTTGTGACAACATTATTGTCTACTATAGTTGGCATTGTTTTCAATCTGTAAATGTTTGTGGGAGTGTCAAATGAGTTGGGCATCTCTCCTCCCCTCCCACTTCCTGAAACAATGTACTGTGTGGACTTATCTCGACAACAGAAGGCTAAGTGGCTTTTGTGTGGGATCAGTGCTCTGTTTCACACCCTTGCTGGTCTCTGAACACATTCCTGTTGTATTAACGAAGACTTGAATTGAGAGATTCATAGATCTGTGGTGTTCAGACACAGGATACTAAGAGCTATGTTACTCTTCTAAGTTTGTAAATTGTCCTTTTGATACCATCTTGTTTTCTTTTGTAGGTATAAATAAAAACACTGTCATTAAAATTTTGAACTTGTCTTTATTTACACAGTGCAAACTGTCTTCACCCCCATTTTCCATTCCCTCCCCAATTTGTATAAAAGATGCAGTCTAGGGTAGCACTTGTCAGTAAGCTAGTATAACTTGATAAAAAATGCTTACTCTCTGTAAAACATCAGAAACTTATCATTGGAAGACACTGAATGGAGAGGAATGTTTGAGTACTTCCAGTATTGAAAGGTCCTCAGTGGTCATCCTTGGAGTTTGAAACCAAGAGATTCCCTTAATATTATAGGCCTTAAGTAGCATGAGAACTGGTGACTCTACCTCTTGGGTTGCCAGTTCATATCTATTTATATGGTATTAATTGTAAAGTCAATCTATCACTTGTTGCCCAGGACCAGCTGTGAAATAGATTGGTATTCTTTGTTTAGTTGTTAGCAAACACCCCTATGTCACCCAACTGCATTCCTGTTGGCAGTCTTTAAACAAAGAATATTGAATGGATGTGAAGACAAATCTTGCCTCATCCTTTGAGGTGATCCCTTAAGCAGACTTTGAAAATAGGAGCTGGAAGGGAGAGAGCTTGCACTGCTACACCTACTGTGAGAAGCGAGGACTTAGTCAATAGCCACTACCATTTATCAGCATAAATTCACTTAAGCAAAAAAACCAACCCAAAACAAACAAAAAAACAAACCCTCAAAAAAACATTTGAAAGAAAAGTCATGAAGAAAATAAAATCTTCGCTATCCAAGCCTCTTGTTTTCCTGATACTGGATGGAGATTTGTAGCTGAGCCTTTTTTCTTGTGTGGTTTTTGTTTTGTTTTGTTTTTGTTTTTAAATCCAATAAGGGGCAGAAAAGAATAGCTGTCATCCTGATGCTACATCTGCAGGAGCTTCATGTGTAATGGCAGTGTCTTCAGACTGGCATTGGAAGACTTAGCTTCTTTCCCTTCAGGACTGTACAAAGAAGAAAAGAGAATGAATGGATGTTGGGGAAACTTGCTCACTTCTGCAAGTCCCCATGCCCTGACACTTAAGGTCCAAGATAATTGTTAAGGTTGGCAGCTTGCAGAACTACAGGGAGTGACAAGAAATGGTGGCAGAAGGTTGCTAGAAATTAGATGGTTATTTTAAAATGTTCTGGTATGTGCATGTTCTTGTCAACTTGTTCTACTTGCTAGAAAGGCCAGGAGAGCAAACCTAACATCAGCTAAGAGGATCGGAGTGGAAGTGCCAAGCTGTATTACCAAGAACTTTGGTACTGCTTGAAATGGCTTGAGAAAGCAGTGCATAGGTTTAGTGTGTTTATATGTGCAAAACTGATGAGTTTGCGAAGAGGGAATCATTCCTATTCAACTGTTTTGGTTGGAGCCAGCAACTGCAAAACTGCTTTTGGGGAAAGAGGCTTTATAAACTTCAGATTAACTCATGAACCAGGAGAGTTTGTGAATTATCCTGACTTGGACAGTGATTCACAGTCATGTGTAGGCTCTTAAATCCCTAATTTCTTCAGAATCACATTCAGCCATGCAGTGTGTAGGCTCTAGTCAAACCTGACAGCAGCTCAAACATTTTATATAGATGGAGAATAACTTCTTAATGTTTACACAAATGAATGCTTCTGTAAATTTATAACACAAACTTTGTATTGTGGGTATTTTTTAAATCTGGATTCAACAACATTGGCCTCACTTGGTTGTCTTCTAGTGGCCAGCAATGTTATGATAGCATACATTCTAAAGAGAACTGCTAGTGACACATTAAAGTTGCTTCACTTATTTTTCCATTAGAAGACCCTGTTTTCAGGGTCTTGAACACTTTCTGAAGTTTAATTCTTCAAACTGAAATTGCTTGTGCATCCCCCTCAGGCTGACACCTTGTGAAGTTTCATTTAATTGACTGTTTGAGAGTAAGATTAAGGGAAAATGCATGTTTAAAATTATACATTGCAACTTCCTTGAAAAAGTATAGCATTTCCATGGATTTTTGGGGGCTTGGAATTTGGTGTGTATGTGGTAGTGGCATTGTTGTATGAAAGTCTGCCTAAAATTGGCTGTATTGAGTCCCTGGAACTTGGAGTCTGTATTCTCAAAGGGTGCTGCGAGACATTTAGCTCCCCACTGTAACTCATAGCGCTTTACAGAAAGTGCCATGACTTAGTGCCCCCGCCCCCCCTTTTTGCTGTTTGGTAGAGGCAGAGAGGTTGTTAGTCTGCAGTCTCTCTCCCAGAGGGCTCCGTCCCCCAATGCTGTCTGCAGGATGGGAGGGGGAGAAGGGAAGGGAGAGGGAGCTGTGGGCTGGAGTTTGCCCAGCCTGTGGGGGGAGGGGAGGAGGTGGATTGGAGCTCCCTGCCTGGGTGGGGGGCTGCCAATCCACCTGCTTCCCCCTCCAGCACAGGCCGCACAAACCCCAGCTCACAGCTTCCTTCCCCTCCAATCTTACAGACTCCTACACAGACTGACAGAAGTTAATGAAGATGCTTTGGAGTGCCTTCATCTGAACTGTCATTTATATGATGGTTAATTTGTTGTGTGATCAGGCACTTTTTTTAAAGCACTCTGCAGCTTTAGAGTGCTTTCAAGGGGCTGATTGTGTGATAAAACATTACTTGTCAGCA